GGGGGAGAGAGGGGGGGTGGGCGACAGGTGGAACATGTGAACGCCCCCACGACTCACCGGGCCTCGCATGTAGTCCGCACCAACCCCACCGCCTCGGCCACCGCCACCGCTTTCCCTTTTGCCTCGTCCTCCCGCCGCCGCCGCCGTCTTCGTTCCGCCCGCCCGCGACAACCCGACCAGCTCTCGCCTTCACCTGCCTCACAGTTGACTCGTTTACTTCCCTCACCCCCAACACGCCCGCTGCCCGCTTGCAAGGCTTTGAGGGAGGTGTTCCTGAGGGCTGGGCTTTTTTCCCTTCCCCCCTCCCTCCCTTCTTGTTCTTGGTCACTGAGTCGCGCTTCCGCCAATTATAACAGAGCACCGGGAAGAGGAGGCCGTGCCTCTGTCAAACCACAACCAACCGGGGACAAGCATTCCCCTCTTTGCGCCAAGGCGGACCCGAAAGGGGCGGGCCTCAGCGTCACCAACCTGTCTTCTCCTCCTCCTTCCCGCCCTTTACGCGACGTTTGCCCCGCCCATCGCACGCCCAGGCTCGGTTGGCTTTACAGTTCCCGAGCAACCAAAGGAGCCGTGATGGAGGAAGGAGGTTGTGAGGGTTGCTGCTGCTGCTCCCCGTTCTCTCCGCTGCCTCCTCCGTCGCCTCCGCTGGCGGGCTGGGGCTTGGGGCGGTCGGCAACAGAGGGGAGTCGTGACTGGGAAGTGGCAGCTGGCCGTTGCCAAAGGAAAAGGAAAGGGTGGGGAGGCAGGGAGGGACCAGCGGCATCCGCAACTGGTGCTGCCATGACTAAGCAGCTTGTGGGGAAGAGACAGAAACAGGTGGGGGAATCAAGGGGGGCGGGGGAGGTGGTGGTGGTGGTGGTGATGATGATGGTCGGGAAGAGAACAAGAATGCTAATTTGTGGCCCTGCGTGTTTGCGGGGGTGGGTGGGAAGGAGGATTCTCAGCCCTGAACTCCTGATTCCTGTCAGCTGTCGTTTCCTTTCGCTGGGTTGGTGCAGTTTCCCCCGCTCCGTCTTTTTCTTCCAGTTTTCTAGTGTGTGTTTGTCGGGGGTGCATTTAAAAAGGGGGGGGGGAGGACGCAAAGGAAGCAACGTGCAGGACAGCCCAAGTCCCACCTTGTTTTCTCGGCGACTGCAACGGTGCTCAGCGGTAAATGCGCCCTTTCTTCTTGAACTTTTTCTGCCCCTTTACAACGTGTAATACCAGGTAATTTGTAAACTACATGTCATAAAACCATTTGAGTGTCGCGTTGATTTCAAAAAATGAGAAGGCACCTTCGTGTTGGATGATGCTTAAGATGGCACTCCCCTATTCAAAACCCAGTGAAGAGTTGCAAAGGAAACAAGATGCACAGTCCTACCCTGTTTCCCCGAAAATAAGACCTAACCTGAAAATAAGCCCTAGTATGATTTTTCAGGATGCTCATAATGTAAGTCCTACCCCAAAAATAAGCCCCAGTGAAGTGAAAACCTGCCCTCTACCATTGTGCAGCAACCAGAAGGTGACATGACTGTATTTGCGTAAATGTAGATTGTTGTACATGAAAAAACAACAGCATTCCCTGAAAATAAGCCCTAATGTGTTTTTTGGAACAAAAATTAATATAAGACCCTGTCTTATTTTCGGGGAAACACAGTAGCTACTGTACAGTAATTGTAAATACCAGGATTTATTAACCTCTGGCGGAAATTCATTGAACTCTGGCCCACAGATCATCTTCCCCATCTCACCATGGAGTCCCCAAAATCTCAGAAAAGGGATTGGTGGGCGAGCAGCCACAATGAAAACCATCCCCTCCAGCAGCACTTCTTTAGCAAGTGGCCTAGTAGGATTTAAGTCTGCCCAGCCCAGTATCTTCCAGTCATCTACCACTATAGCCTTTTAATTAGAGATTCAAGAGATTGAACTCAGGAACATACAAAGAAGTCATTTTACCACTGAGTTAGTCTCTTCACAAGATCAGACAATTTATCCCTATCAAATCATCGTAATCATGTAAGTTACATTTTCAGAGAATCTACAGTATATATTCCATACACTTTTATATGTTGCATACTCATTTGCTTTGACTTGTTTTGTAGTCCATTATATACAAACAGCCATAAAAGAGCCCTGTTGCATCAAACCAATAGGCCTGTCTTCTCAGTATCCTGTTTCCTACAATGCTCAGTAGATAGGGTTTCTTTGCGTTTGTATCCTGGGGATGTGAATATGAAGCACAGCATCACAGATGCCACAGAGGTCCATTCCCTCCCCCCAGAACCAGCCTGGTCCATTCAATGGCTCTGTGTGGCACATATGTCCATCATTGACAGAACCAGCCTGGTCCATTCAATGGGCTCTGTGTGGCACATATGTCCATCATTGTCACCACACCAGTTGTGGAAGTAGCCCAGCTGTTGCTTCCCTGCCTCTTTCCACATCGGGTCACTCCAGCAAAGTGAAATGACCAGCTAGAAGCTCATAGAAAACCCAGAAGCAGGGCATGGCAGTAACATCCCATTGCTACTGCATATTTATTTTAAAAATCCTGCTATTCTGAGCCATGATTCTTCTTACCCTGGAAGTATCAGCCATCACTGTGACTAGTGACCACTGAAAACATAGAATCATGAAATAATGGAGTTGTTCTGTCTAGTCCACACCTAGTTAGCTTGTTAATTAGAATATCATGGGGCACTTTGTCAAAGACTTTGCTGAAATCAAGATATGTTACATCTACAGCATTCCCACCGTTTACCAGGGTTGTTACCTGATCAAAATATAAGATAAAATTAGCCTGGCTGGATTTCTTTCTTTCATTGACAAGTCCATGTTGGCCTCTTGTTATTACTACATTGTTTGCATTAATATTTCCAACCCCTTTGAAAACTGGTGGTCATCACCATATCTTGTGAAAGTGTATTTCACAGTTTAGTTATACTCTGTACAAAGAAATTCTTCCTTTTGATCCTTTAAACATTTCACCCTCTTTGGATGATTCGAGGAACTAATGCTGAGAGAGGAAGAAACACATAATGATCTGCTTTTCCCACACCATAAATGATTTTACAGTCCTCATGAGGTACTCTTAAAAACATTACTCATTTTCTGCTCTAAATTAAAGCGTGCTTGATCTGTTCAAATTGCACAGGTCCTTAATTTATCTATATGCTTGACTTTTTATTGATGTACTTTTGTCAGAGGGAGAGAGAAGCTGGACCAGCGAAGTAGAACTGAGGAAGATGCTGTAGACATACAAAGAATTTTCTTCAGTCTATCCCACTGGTTCCCAGTCTGTGGGTTGTAACCACCAAGGTCAGCAATGTGTTTTCTTGGGAGGGGTGTTGCTGCAGTTTTTGGAGGAGGGGGACATGTTTCCCTTGACTCACATACCCCTTCCTGGTTCCCTTCTGCACACACACTGCCCCTCCGCCATTTGTATGCCCCCAAGCCAAGCTCTCTTTGCTCCTTGCTATTGTGCTCCTACATGCCTCAGGCCTCCTGGTTGCACACTCTCTTTCTTGGCTCTGCTGACTGGCTAGCTAGCACAGTGGCCTGGACAGGGAGAAGCAGGAGGTGGGACCCAGCCACAGACCCTGTGAGCCAGGCCAGCCATGGTGGGGATTGAGAGGCCAGGAGCCAGTGGCAGAAATGGTGGAGGAAGATGAAAAGGCTGCAGCTACCATCAAAGCAATTTCACCCCACCAAACCACACACTACTGCTATGACCATCTTGGAGAGGACAGCTGAGGGGGCAGTGGTGGTAGAGCCAATGCTGAAAAGAGGAAAAAATGTTGCCTTCCTGAGGGAAAACTCTCTCTCTCCCAGTAAAACCCATTTTTAACTAACCCTTATTACCTCCACCTCCTGCAGCCTGTTAAGAGTTGGGGGGGAGTGACTTTAACAAACAACCAGCCACAAATGTCGAAGCTGATTGCCCAGATGCGAGTACAAACATCATATTAAATATTAGGTTAAAATGATATTCTGAAAAAATCTACTTTTATTTGTTTTCTTTGCCCTATTAAAATGCCTTTGATGCAAATTTGGCTCTTATTAAAAAGGGAGTCATGACTCAAAAAAGGTTGGGAAATACTGGTCTGCCCTATAGACTGCCTGGTCCACAGAAGGATCAGTCAAATATTTGTAGATAAAGCTAGAATATGCTTAATCAACAAATCTGGATAGCTGCTGGTGGGCATATTTCAGTGGTGGAGTGGTGGGCAAATTTCTAAAAAGAATTAACCACAGAATTAATTTTATGTTTTCAAACCTGGAATACAAAGTACTGTCATGTTAAGCATACCCCATCAGCCCAATTAACAATAACAAAGGTGAAACTATATTGGAATATGTACAAAACATCTTAATCTCACCATTAAGTAACCCAGCTCCCAAATAAAGCACCTCTTTCTTGGGATATGTTGAAATGAATGATTAAAAATATGTCTGCTATACTAGTTCATCTTGTTGAAAATGATTCTCTGATCATTTCTAAATATAGGAAGGAAGGGGGTATTTCATTTTGTGATTTCACGTTATGATATTTCATTTACTGAAATGTTAGCTACCTGATGCAGAAAAGAAAGTATTTTAAAGACTATGGATTTGTGTGTAGTAAGAACGGTATTAGAATGTTCTAGTATTAAAATAGCCACTCATCAAAGCACTAGCACTTAGATATTGAGATTCACTTTGCATTAAGTATCATTCTAGTTTACTGCAATGAAATTCAATTGTTGTTTTGTTGTGAGAAGTATATGTTAATCAGACACAATTAAAATGCTTTACTTCAAAAATATTACCGTACCCATTCATATGTTGATTATAATTTTTTTTTAATGTGATGACTGCTGGTAACTTTTTCAGGTTTACAATTCCTGGTTGATTTAGATTCTAAATCTAAGAACAAGAACTGGATCCATCCCAAAGCAGAGTTCTTTTACAAGTTAATGAATAGATTTCTGCTATTTCTGCTTCAGACAGCTGCTATGCATATTATCATGGAAGCAGAAGCAAGCACTAGACCATCTAAATTAAGTATGTTGCACGTAGGAGTATCCATCCATTAGGAAACAGAGGCACATCACACCTACCAACCTATTAATACTTACTAGGACATTCTGTTGAACAGTGTGGTACAGTGGTACCTCAGTTTACGAACGCCTCGGTTAACATAATTTTTGCTTTACGAATGGAAATCCATTGAAAATAATGCCTTGGTTTACTTTTTTTTCAGAGTACGAAGAAAGTTTGCCCAGGATGCATAGTGCCTGGAGGTTTGTAGTGCCACCCCCGTTCTTATGGCAATCCATATTTCAGTTTACAAATTTTTCGCTTTACATAATGTTCCCTAGAATGCATTGATTTCGTAAATCGAGGTGCTACTGTACTTCTAAAAAATGTTTAGGACTGAAAAGAAAGATCCTTGTACAGGCTGAGTAGGGAACTGTGGACAACAAATTTCTGTCACTGACCACCAAACACTCTGGCAGGGGCTGCTGGAGCTGCTGCGGCAGAACATTAAGCAGGTTCATCCCAGGTTCCTGACTTATACCATACTGCAGACATTCCTATTTGTTTACACAGTATAACTCTATTAGGTGCCATATTAATGATGGGTGCTAAACAATAATAATTATACATGGCAAATAAGCCTCAATTAAGACAAGCCAAGGAAAATAAAACTACTATCTAATGTGAACCAGAGCAACTTTCCTTCTCCTTTTGATACTACAGTTCTAGGCTACAGCCATGAATATCAAATATATTTCTATCAGTGCAAACCTCCTCAGACATCTGCCCCATATGGTTCAATGGGACTTAAGTTCATGTAATAGTACAGCATTGCTATCGAAAAGCTTTAAATACAACCCACCTAGGGCATATCACCCTTCAAGAGAACTATAAAATTAATATATTCAATGCAGGTTCCTCATGTGTTTAACGAACAGCATCATGACCTTGGACTGGAAGGGAGGTCGGGGGTCAGAAATAAATCTTCATTTGCCTAATCACTCAGTGCAACAAGCGATGTATTTTTTGTATCAATTATAGTTTAGAATGCTTTCATGACAGATACAGATGCACTTTCTCTTCTGTGTGAACTGTTTTTGAATTTACGGATATGTGTTACAACATGGGCCAAAATGGAAAGAACAGCCATTTTTAGATTTAGTAATAGACCCTGGATGTGTAGCTCTTAAATTAAAAATATCTACATATGAATGCATATTCTGTGATCAGATGCAGTCTTAAAGCAGGCAGATACACCAAGGCTGTTTGTCTCATATTTCTCCTACAGTAGAAAGTTGTGTGGGTAGTGTGAGCAAATGTAAAAAAGTTAATATTTAGTGTGCATAACGTGACATGTCTTCACCAAGCCAAAGGAGATTTAGATCACAGTGTAAACATTGCCTGTCAAACTATTTGCAGGTTTACTAAATTTTTAACGTCCTTGTATGTTTTCAGTAATCTAAAACAGGCAAATAGCATTAAGAGTATTCAAATTCACATGGGATATGAAAAGCAACATATGATATTTTTCAGTTGCTCATTCAACTATTTTAGTAACACAAATAGTAAAAGTGCAAATTCATAATGCTATTGCTTGGAAACAATAATGACCCAGCTAATTTCTTCATAGCAATACTGTGCCTATAATGCAAATCAAAGACTATGCACACAAAAATTAAAAAGTTTAAGGATGCAATGAGTTGTCTTTAAAGTTACATGGCCTCAGTCAGATGGAATATCCCACAGAGAATGATTTAGCAGGGGTCTCAAACATGCGGCCCGGGGGCCATTTGCGGCCCCCCAGATGATAGTTTGTGGCCCTCGCCTTGCCTGCCCCCCC